ACTACTACTACTACTACTACCACTACTACTACCTCTGCTACTACTGCTACTGCTACTACTACTACTACTACGACGACGACGACGACGACGACGACGACCACGACGACGACGACGACGACGGCTACGGCTAGGGCTACGGCCACGATTACGACTAAGTACGACTACGACTACGACTTCTTCTACGACTGCTACGTCTACTACGTCTACTACGACAACGACTACTGCATCGACTGCGACGACGACGACGACTACTACTACCTCTCCCTGCAACTACTGCAACTAGTCTTACTGTACCGCCTACCACTCTGACTACACTTGCCTTGGAGATATTGGTAATTATACTTATATTACTACCACTGGCCACTTCGATTGGCGCCAAAGGCTGCACCTGCTCCGCACTGATCGCGGGGCCCCGGGGAGCCAGGGCCATGCCGGGCGCTGCCCGGGCACCGGCCCCTGCGCTGGGTCCGCTGGAAGCTTCTCGGCGGAAACCTGGATTCTGGACAACAGTACTACTGCGGTTTAGGGTTTACGCTATAAAGTGTGGTAAACAATAATACGAGGGTTTAGTAAGGGCTTGGGCAGCAAGTACAGTAAACAGAAAGACCAGAATTTAGGCTGCCAGGTAGAAAGAACAGCAAACAGCAAGACGATGCTGCAGGCTAGGTAAAAAGGACAATAATCGTGGAAATCTTGGCAGTAGTCGTGGACGAAGTAGTCGCAGTATCGGCCAACATCGCAGCAATCACAACACACTATAATCGTAGTACGACAGCTGATACTTTCAACAAGACGTGACGCCGGAAATAATTCAAACTCGAAACAGACATCAGCCAGATTACATGGCCGCAGCTACTCAATCCCTGTCAGAAACTTGTTGCAACCAGAGCAGCGGGAGTAGAAAGCTGGCGTAGCCTTGCCAAACCTGGTCTCAATTCATCGCGCCACTTCTGCCCTCCTATTGCTCGCTCTCTTCCCTTCCGGAGTCTCAGCAAATCTGCGCGATCCAAAAACAAGTTCGACTTATGTCGAAGTCTCGGCTGAGCGGCTGCTTCAGGTACTGTCCCCAATGCACCGGGCAGGCCGCGATGATGCTGCCGGATGCACGCAGAGACCCGGAAAGGGCTGCCATGCCAACCTTAGCTCTGGGAACCATTAAAGTAAAGCTCCGTGCAGCACTGTGGAACTTGCAAGGAGCTATTACTGTATATTACATAGTAGATGCTATCAGAGATATATTACCTATCAACGACTATGGCCACCATACACTAGGTACTGTATAGCTTACATTGTATATTGAATAGCATATACTTGATCTTATTAGCTTCTGCCTCCTGGGGACCACGTTGCCAATGCTACCCAGGCCTTGGGCCTTCAGCCGTTGCACGGTTCCTTTCTGGGCCGCCATGCCAACCTCTCGCCATGGCCCCCACTGCACGGAGACGACTTTCTCGCCCAAGGCCTGTCAAGGACTTGGGACTTGTGGCCCCGACACGGTCCGACACTACCTGATCTTGGCTCAAAAAAAGAAACGATTGAAATTGGAGGTGGGGGCACATCCAGAAGGTACCACCCTAAACCCTCATGGAGTTGGGAAGTGCAACGTTGAGGCCTAAGCATGCGGAAACACTGAGAGTTGGTCCTTCCAGTAACGCGCTTGAGCATCCAGGGCCGCATTGGCCGCAGAGTAGTTGCCCTGGCAAGATCAGAAATCCTAAAGGCTTGCGTGTGCGTGTGGGCGTATGCATGTATGTATACATACATACTCATACTATTCATGTTGCAATAAAAGCTACCGTGCTCATAACAGGAATCACAACGATCATCACCGGAGTAGCAGTAGTAGCAGCAGCAGCAGCAGCAGGAGTAGCACTAGGAGTAGGAGCAGGAGTAGTAGTAGTAGGTGTAGGAGGAGGAGGAGGAGAGGAAGAATATTTGTAGTAGTATGTCTAGTCTAGTAGTATATGTTGTAGTATATGTAGCAACGGTCATGGGCGCAGGAGATGCCTGGCCAGGGGAGCCCAAGAGCGCCGAGGTGGAGGAGAAGAGGACGGCGAAGTCCAGAAGTTGCTTTTGGGTCTGCAGGCAGAGGTGGAGATGCCGGGCACCGAAGACCTTGGCTCCGTAGGCCTTCTCCAGGTGCTTCCTTGTGAGCTTTGGCAGCGTGGCATCGTCCAGAACGGCGGCCAAGTGGATCAAACCTTTTACGGTGTAGCTGGAGCTGCTCTTGAGATTGGTCACCAATTCTTGTACGTCGGTCAAGCTGGCAATGTCACAGGGCTTGACGAGAAGCTCAATGTCAAAGTCCTGCAGCTTGTCCCACATCGATTTCAGGTCGTCGCCTACCACGCCACGTCGCGAAAGCAGCACCACGGACTTCGCACCTTCCTCGGCCATCATCTTGGTTGTCACAAGGCCAAGTGCACCAACACCACCAGAGAGCACGTAAGATCCTTCCTCAGAACACTCCATTCTGGAAGGCTGCGTCAGCACGACCTTTCCTATCTGCTGAGCTCGCTGCAGGTAGCGCATTGCCTCGATACCGGAGGCCAAGCCCTCGTAAAGTGTCAGAGGCACCTCCTTCCACCATCCTTGCTCAATTTGGGACACGAGCCGCCGCATCAGAACGTTGTAGCGCTCCGGCTGGAACTCCATGACCCAATCCATGGCGATCTTCTCATACTGCACATCGGGACGTTCGCGTCTCATCTGGTCATGGCTCCAGATGAGCCTCTTGCCAATCTCCATGAAGCGCCCTCCCTTCGAGAGAAAGCTCAGAGACTTGGGGATGTAGTCGTCGTGGCTCAGTGAGTTGAGCACAACATCTACACCGTCGGCACCGTCCTCCTTGAGGAAGGCCTTCATATCCTCTTCAAACTTCTTAACATCCCGGCTGCTAGTGATGTACTTGACCCCCATGTCCCGCAGGTGCTGCACCTTGTTCGGGCTTCCAGCTGTGGCGAAGATGGTGGCACCCACGCGCTGTGCGAACTGCACGGCCACCAGTCCCACCCCGCCGGTGGCCGCGTGGATCAGGACGCGCTCGCCCTTCTGGACCGGCGCCAGCTCCTGGAAGGCCTCCTCGGTCGTGGCGAAGGTCACGGACCAGGCAGCCATCTGCTCGAAGGACCATTTCTTCGGCTTGGGTGCCAAGAGCAAAGCTTCTGTGCATGCGTAGGTCTGCAAGCAGCCCCATGCGATGCCGAAGACGTCGTGCCCCGGTCGGAGGCCAGCTGCCTCCTTCTCGCCACCCCCAACGGAACACACGGTGCCGGCACAGTCTCCTCCTGGATTGCCAGGGTCTCCCGGGTACATGCCCATGACGTTCCTGGCAGCTGGACAGTCGTTGAAACCAAACTGCAAAGATAAAGGCTAGACTTCGCAAAGGAGACTGCTCCCCAAAAAGTCTAATTGGGCCCAAGCTCAGGACATCTCGGAAGTTCAGGCCCACGGCCCGGATCCTCACCTCGACCTGCTCGGGGCCTGGCTGTGGTCGCGAGGCCTGGGGAACGGGTCGAAGGTTCGACAGACTGCCTCGCGAGGACATCTGCAAGCGCATGGGCTTCTGGACCTGCACCTGGCTGCGGGACAGCCGGGACACCTGGGTGCCGGCCTCTCTCAGGGCCAATTCGGTCTCACCGCCGCCAGTTCCGACGCCGGTCAAGCTGCCCAGCTGCTCCACAATCGCCTTGGCAGCGGATTCCGGGTCCTGGTGCCTCGAGTCCAAGTCGAAGCAGCGAAGCTTGATCGATCGCTCTTCCATACGCACCGTGCGGGCCAGGCCCCACAGACCTGCATCTGAAGAGGAGGCATCACTTGCAAGATAGTCAGTTGCTAGGAGATCACTCTAACCCGAATGCAATTCGCGCTTGCACGACTGCTGGACGCCTGCATGAAGGTAGCTGCCGGCCCCGCTGCTTGTAGCCACATCCTGCAGCTGCTTTTACTGCACTTTCTGATGCAGGGGACTGGCGACAGTTACAAGAGATCTCAAGGTGTCTACACGGCTGGCGCCTGCGTTCCGTAGGTCATGTAGGCAATCTGTGGGGCATCCTCACCCTTTGCGATCACCGCAAGTGCTGCCTGCAGATCAGTTGCAAGTTTCCCCTGCGTGTGCCTGGAAATTCCGCTTTCCGCCTGTGCCAAGGCTACCGCTTCCTGCAGCACGGCAAGCTCTGCCGCATCCTTCCAGACTTGATTGATGCTCAAAGCAGCGAAACGGGGCTTTCCCCCCCGCCCCTCTCGCCACCAGCCCGTCCTGCAACGCGCCGAGGTGCACGACCGCTTTGGTTCCCTCCTTGAAGGCGAGGTCCCCCGCAGTGTCCGTGAAGCTGCTGGCCTTGCCCAAAGGCCCGAACCCTCAAGGCCCTAGCCCTCCCTAAACCCTAAACCCTAAACCCTAAGCCCTAAACCCTAAACCCTAAACCCTAAACCCTAACACCCTAAACTTTACTACACCAACCGTTTTTGGCCCCCTTCGGCCTCGAGGAGCTTCTGGAGAGCCTGGCGCAGGGCCGGCGCGGCACCTGAGGACGGAAGCATGGAGGCGGATGGTTTAGGGTTTTGGGTTTTGGGTTTAGGGTTTAGGGTTTAGCAGTATGGAAGCTTCCTTGGGTGGCTCCAGGCTTTTGCGACAGTTTTTCTGGGACATCCTGGTCCTAGTTCCATTTCGTCGCACTTCTTTACCATGCTCGTGTCGTGCACTGACCTTGCTTGTCCTGACAGGAGGCGTACTGAACCAAGCATGGACACTTCTGCAGCTCATGCGAGCCCCTGGGTGCTGCACCTACGAATAAGATGCCCTTGCCGGTCGAGTCTTTGGCTTTTCCAAGGGCTCCCTCCATTGGCACCCAGTCCACTTCCAAGATGTCTTCTTCCACATCATCTGTAGCTTGTTGCAGCATCTTTGCCTCACTGCCCCACACACCAGGCTCAAGGCTTGACAGTTTAGAGCTTCAGGGTTTAGGGTTTTTGGTAGGAACCCTAAACCCTAAACCCTAAACCTTAAACCGGCAAAAGAAACCGTAAACGAATATGCAACCCAGCCACGATGTGCTCAGGTCGAACCTCTCGGAACCTGAAAGAGAGGACCCATAGCATCACAGAGAGACCTATCGAAAAGATCCTGGGAATAGCAGAGCATAGATGCACAGATACGCATGGTAGGCCGGTCTCCCTCAAGCACACCACAACTTGTTGACTCATGCATTGTATTGAACGAGCCTTTTATTGCAGTGGCTACTGATGCTTTCCTGCCTCAAGGTCTCGAAGCCGAGCATGGCCGTTCCGTCCTGTCGATCTGTGCAGGTAAGCTGAAACCACTGTCAACTGTGGCGCGCTGGGGGGACAGTCTTGTAGGAGAATTATGTGCGGAGATGCTTTGAGACCACCCATGGAGACATGTTGAGACGCCAGGCTCCTGCTTGCACAGCTTGGAGTTGACACAGTTCTCCCGGTCTGTGATCTCCACGAGCTCATGATGAACGAAAATGTCTGTCTGCGATCCTGTGATTGCATGCCAGCTTTCAGCTCGTCAGTAAAGTGGCAGACACATGCAAGAACTACTCCGTACAGCGCAAGGCCTAGCACTCAGGTCCTTGTGCATAGTGTGTGACTGTCTGAACCATCAGCGGGATGCGCAGGGAGTTGAGACCATCGATCTTCGTGCTGTGGCGCTCGAGCATGAGAGCCATGCTGCCCTGGAAGGTCCCGTCCTTGGCATGTGCACAGACATCGAGGAGAAACCCTGGTTCTTGGCCGAGGTTCTGTCTTTATCAGAACAGGTCAAGTACCCAAGCTGGTCTGCGGCAAGGTCTCGATGACTGCAGGATTGAACAGGTAACCGCTGTCTGTGCCGTCGTCTTCGGCAGCAATTCGTGCAAGCACCTGAAAGGGTCGACACAGCTGCAGGCCACAAATACGGGCGCAGGCGACATAGATCCGTGCCTCTTTCTCTCCGCGCAGGATGTGCCGCACCGTCCTGAATCGAGGCTGCAGCGGCAGGCCGATCTTTGAGAAAGGAACCTCAGCCAACAGATCATTACAGCTACACGCGTCAGGTTTCTCTGGGGGGATTCTAGAACAGCCTGTTGACGTGCTGAAACCGTCCAGCTATTACAGCATGGTGCTGACATGTTGCTACATTGCGATGGCAAAGCATGGATGCTTGCTGCTTCGACACTACAGTGTACTGTGCCACACGGCAATACAAGTTGCAGCGGTATCCGATTGTACACCCACGTGGTATCAGCTTCACCAATGTCCTGTCTAGGATTGCGCTGCTGTACTGTCATGCGGTTGAGTCTGGATCGTGCGTGTTCTGTTTCCTATGTCTCACATTGCTGCCAGTAATGCTGTCCATCTTCATCGGTGCCAACAGATATACCCACTGAACAATCTATCGTCTGTCGATGTATCGATACATCTACGTATCTATCTGTCTACTGTACCTATCTCTCTATCTATCCGTCTATCTATCTATCACCAATGATTGCGCAACCTTTCACATTGACTACGTGCCCGTATATAGACATCTCTTGATCCCCCGTGTGCGCATATGTGTGTGCAGCCATATACAATCAAGGGCATGTGTACGTGTGTTGTTGTTCAACGTTTCGCGGCTCCGACAGATGCTTGCCCTTTCCGGTACCACTCCGCTGTTGTGCCGCTAACTCCACTCTACTTCCCTTGCTCTCCGCTGCGAAGGTCTTGACATACTGATGGCATCTGAAAGCCCGCTCCACACGATCATCGGCAGAGTGGGATCTGTGTTATCTAGATAAAGCCACATACTGCTGCACGAACACACACTCAATTGCTGTCGTAATCCTCTCCTCGTAGCAGTGGTGATTTTGCTACCACCCCAACAGTTGTATCGTAATACTAGGCCACTATGTCCTGCATTGCTGCCGCATGAAGTTATAGTCATAGGTGCCGGAATTCTGTCAGTGCTCTACTGCTGCTGTGATGGCGTTTCATGAGTTTCCCAAACCACTCGCACCAGTATGCTGCCATGGGATGCAGAAAATGTCTACGCCCGTTGTTTCATGTGTTATCCTATGTCCATGTGCGCTCACCTGCCGCTGTATCACTTCAGAACCTACCGCGTTATAAACTTGTCTTGCTATTGAGTTATTGCGCCGTTGTGAAATGCTTGCCGCAGGGCATACAGACGTTCGATGGTCACCTCCTCATCACAGCGCTGGCGCACCTGCCCGCTTCAGCCAAAAAGTCTTCTTGACAATGGGATCCCACCTAGCTCCCACACTCTAAACCCCAAATCCTAAGCCCTGGCCCAAGTCTCACATCCCAGTTGTGGCTGACTTAGTAATATGCTTGAGGTGATTGCGAAACGTGGCTGAGCCCTCTTGCTGCATCATCACTGCGACTTCGGCTCACTCCTTGCAAGGGTCGTGGACTTCTGGGGACCTTGATCTCTGAAGCTGCTGGGTTCCCGTGACTTTGGAAAATGGGGCTCTTTTAACGGTAAGGGTGGCCGCACTTGCTGATGGAAACTCGTGTTCGGATGTCCGAGATGGCTAAGAAAACAATCGCTCTTGCGGGAAACAGATACTATCCCAAGCCTCCTCCAGATCCACGGATGGATACTCTGGCTGGACGAAGCTCAAGTCCAAATCCTCAGGGGTCACATCAAGTTCAAGACAGCCGCACAAGGCAGCTGCCAACACGTCTTGTGAACCGAGCCGAGATACTCCCTCTGCATGGGTCGCCAGCTTCTTCCGCTCTTTCGGGTCGTAGCTACTCATGGACCAGTGCTGATCGGGGAAGAGCTCGAGATACCTGGCTCCGTGACCGTAGGATAATTCTGCGGCCGGCACAACAACTCCTAAGACTCTCCCTCTCACCAGTGCCAAGAATGACACCTGACCTGAATCCCAATGAGAGCCGGGGCGGCAAGTCCACATCGCGCGCCAGTTTTCCTTGCTCCTCGCCTTGCTTTAGCACCAGAGGAGCTGTGAAGCCGACCTGCCAGGTTGCTGTGAAGCTGCAAAGAGGACTCAGACTACGAATCTCAAGAGAAATAGAGAAATATTAGTAGTAGTTGTAGTAGTAG